TTTGGTTTTTGGTGTTTTTTTTTGTTGTTGTTGTTGTTTTTGTTTTGTTTTTTTTTTTTAAAAAAAAGGTACTGTTTCCTTGGAACAGTGGTTAGAGAACTTCAGTTCCAGGCAGCGTATCATAATTAATTCCTTATTCGTAGTCACTTGCTTTGCATCAGGACAAACTCTCTTAAAAAAAAAAAAAAAAAAAGTTGGTTTTGAGAAGGAAAAAAGAACTTACCTCCTGTAGAAATTAATTTTTCTATTTTATTTCTTTGAGGAAGCTGAAGTCTATCCTATAGGACTGACTTGAAAAGAAGACATGAAATACTGCAGTTGAGGAACATGTTATATGATTCTTACATTGTTATGACTACTTAGTTGCTGAATACTTAAGACTTCTTTGAGTAATTGTTTACCGATACAAAGACTAAATGATGTCTGTTGCTGAACAGATAAACTAAACTGTTTGTGTTTGAGCGTGGTGTATTCGTGCATGTGTGTTCTTGTGCATAATGCGGTAGCAGGAGTGAATGTGATTTTTATGGTGAGGTAGAGAGCTTGATTATCTGCAATAAATGGGACTGGATTCATAGGGTGTTTGACAATGAGTTAGGTTTACATCACAGACTTGGGTTCAGGAGTTCCTGTTGACCTTGTGCTTGTACTGCTAGATGCTGTTGCCCTTTGTTACCAGAAGTTTTCATTCAACTGGTGTTCATAGTACAGCTACATGGTCAGCCTATGTTGTAGACATGGCCGTTCTTCATGAAGCCTGTTGTTATTCTGTATTGCATAGCAAGAGATGCTGAAATCCAGTTCACTGTTGGGCAGAAACATATGTCTGTTTTTAAATGGTATGCTCAGTTCCTGAAAATTGAGACTTTACAATACCTATGTGTTGTGTAACCTTTTGCAATGAAATCTGATGAAAAAAAATGTTTTTAATGTGAAGACTTGAAATGCTTGAAATGCTGGTGAGTTGTCACGTTGAGTGTTTTAAATATACTGGGGAATGGGATAGATCAAGATGGACTTGTTCAGCATTAAATCTAAGTATAGAGAAGTGGCATTTTTTCATGTGATAAATGACTTTTCTCTCTTAGCGTGGGTTTTTTGTTGTTGTTGTTGTTGTTGTTTTAATAGCTCCCTTACCTCTTCTGCCCAAAAGCGGTGCAACTTACTTACTTTATTGAGAGACCTGTTGGGTAAACAGTGCATAATACTTTTTTTATTCATTGAACTACTGGACCACTGTTGCATCTCAGTCTTGTTTTGGAGAAGGAGAAATCTTCGATGCTTTTTCAATGCCTAAAACTAATAGTATGTTTTATGTTCATGACAGCGTCATATTGAAGCGAACCAAAATACAAAATTTTGAACTGTTAAGGTTTATGAGACAAGTGGTTAGTGTTCCAGAAAGTGTGCGGGTATATTTCTGGGAAGATGAACGAAGGAGTCATCAAATGTTTTTCCTAGTCTAGAAATCTTGGCCACCTCATTGCAGTAAAATACTCCATCTTAGCAACAGTTGCTATGTAGTACTACCTTTTTAGGCGATGTTAGTACCATTTTAAGATGTTAAGAGCTCTGCAGTGTTCCTACTGATTCACCTCCTACGCTTGTGAGACTTGACTGTGTAGCTTAGGACTTCCATTTTACATAGAAAAATGATTAGTGAAGGTTTTATTGGAAGTGTCCCCAGACTTAGAAACTACCATCAGCATAGCCAGAGAGGAAATGAGGCTTGTATTGTGTGCATTGCTAGTGTGGATGATTTGTTCTTATTAAGCAGGAAAAAAGGTTAACAGTTCTCGGCATATATCACAAAACCAGAAAATAAGCTGTTTAGAACAGCTTATAGAACTGCTGGTGCTGCACCAGGGTAAGTGTAAAGCAAATAGGAACCTTTTAGAGTGGGGAACCAAGTGTGTTTGGCTGTCTGTGTGCTTGTTCTTGTTCACAGCTGGCCAGAGCCTTGCAAGGCTGGCAGGTCTAACAAAACAGCCAGCGTTAGTCAGTCTCTGCAGCATCCTGCAACTTCTCTGTCACTTCGATAATGGTGATTTTCTTAGAGCTGCAGTAGGAAGAGCCGAGTGGTGGAGTGGTGGATTGTTTCTTTTGTTTTCCTCTGAACTGCCCTGTCCTGCTTCCTTATTCAGTTAGTGCTTTTTTGGTATTTGATAGGTCTTGAGTTTTGGTTTTTTTTTCCTCCTAGTGCTGCTTGGAAGTTAGAGAGGGGGATTAGTGTGTTTAGTGATTGCCTGTCAGGATCTTCCAGTTGATCCCCAGCTAATGTGCATGCTTCTTGGTGAGCTTTGCCGTGAGAGTCTTCAATTGAAACGAGGAGCCATAGCCGTTGCATTGCTTGTCTTAGCGACAGTTGCCATGTACGACTGCCTTTCTGGGCTGCATTGATACTGCTGGAAGAAATACAAAACTTCTTCCAGCTCCTACAGTGGACATTTTGCTGATTAGAAAGCTTATTTTCATGGATTCCCTGTGTGGTGGGTTGACCCTGGCTGGACACCAGCTCCCCACCAAAGCTGCTCTATCACTTCCCCTCCTCAACTGGATAGGGGAGAGAAAATGTCATGAAAGGTTCGTGGGTCGAGATAAGGACAGGGAGATCACTGGCCAATTACTGTCATGGGCAAAAGAGACTCAACTTGGGAAAATTGGTTTAATTTATTACCAATCAAATCGGAGTAGGTTACTCAGAAAATAAAAACTAAATCTTAAAACACCTTTGCTACACCCCTTACTTCTTCCCAGGCCCAACTTTACTCCCGAATCCTCTACTTCCTCCCCACCAGTGGTGTGGGGGGATGAGGAATGGGGGTTGTGGTCACTTCATCACACGTTGTCTCTGCTGCTCCTTCCTCCTCAGGGTGAGGACTCCTCACACTCTTCCCCTTCTCCAGCCTGGGTTCCTTCCACGGGGTGCAGTCCCTGAGGAACAGACTGCTTTAGTGTGTGTACCCCGGGGGGTCACAAGTCCTGCCAGCAAACCTGCTCCAGCATGGGCTCCTCACTCCATGGGCCCACAGGTCCTGGTAGGAGCCTGCTCCAGCACGGGCTTCCCTCAGGGGGCCACAGCCTCCTTCAGGCACATCCACCTGGTCCCCCAGGGACGGCAGGGGGCCATCTGCTCCACCATGGACTTCCATGGGCTACAGGGGGACAGCCTGCCTCACCATGGTCTTCATCACAGGCTGCAGGGAATCACTGCTCTGGTGCCTGGAGCACCTCCTCAGCCTCCTTCTTCACTGACCTTGGTTCTGCAGAGTTGACTCCCTCACATGTTTCTCTCCTCTCTCCAGCTACAATTTCTGTTGCACAGTTCTACCCCCTGCCCCGCTTCTGAAGTCCATTATCGCGGAGGCGCTACCACTGTCACTGACGGACTCGGGCTTGGCCAGCGGTGGGTCTGTCTTGGAGCCGGCTGGCGTTGGCTCTGTCAGACATGGGGGAAGCTTTTGGCAGCTTTTCACAGAAGCCACCCCTGTAGTGCCCCCCCCAACCTTGCCATGGAAACCCAATATACCCACCTTTTTTTTTTTTTCCTTCTCTCCTCACCTCCTACAGAGTAGTACTGAAAATTATTAAAAAAATAAAAAAATGTTTGGCTGTTGCTCTCAGTGGTTTTGTGTTCCGCTGATGCTAAGTGTTCCTCCTTCTGTACAAGTTAATGTTTTACAGGCACTTAACCACACTTGACACAAACATTGACTTAGAGTTTCCCAAGGAGAAGCATCCATAAATGTTATGCTGACTGTTGTTTACTGGTATTTTCCAATGTTAATGCCTAGACAGGTAGAAAAGAAATGAAAATATGTGTAGTTTCAGAAATCAAAAAAAAAAGATGCCTCTCAGAGGTTTGCTAGGTATCAGATCACACTACAGGTGTAAGACCTGTGTCCATTTTCATGCTTGCTATCTCACAAATGATGAAGGTGTCAGTGAATGCTGTTTGTAGATGTATGACCTGTGACCTCCTTTTCTAAAGAAGAGCTACAACCTGCTTTGGGCTCTGACGTCATTTAATGTCAAAGTGGCATAATTTGTAACACTGATTGTCAGTGTCAGCTGTCAAAGAACAAATAAGTGTAAAAAAATAAAAACTGGCTCCCTCTGTCCCATAGATCTTTATATCCTAAGCGTGTGATGAGACAGGGAGGGAGGTGGAACAGTTGTTAGAAGCTGTGGTCACCACACATAGAATGACCAGTTGTTTTTGAGGCTTTTGTGTGCATCCTGCTGAGAGGACTTGTGAAAAGGGCTTTGTAGGAATGTAATTCAGCTTTGGATAGTGGTAGAAGTTGCTCATAAATACAGAATAGGGTGTGGGAAATCTGGAGGGGTTGGAAGAGCTGGAGGGTAGAGGTTCATGATGATGGTGGGTGGGGGTCCATGTCTAGGCTAGGAACTTGGCAGGAGCTTGGACCCTCTTTTCGTAGTTTTTTCACCAGCAGTAATACTAGGTTGGAGCACTTTTATGGCTGTGAAACTTATCTGGCCTGGAAAAGTACTATGAATTAATACTGAAGAATGTTTCTTCTTGCTGTAGATCTCAGCAGGGTTTGGCCTGTAACTTTGTGTTGTCTAGATTTAAATTTGGCTGATGTGGAGGTCCGTCTGTGTAAGCATTGTGTGCCGAAGGGCTAAGATCTTGTCTTCAAGCAGTGTTGGTTTATAATACAGCTCTCAGTAGTTCTAAAGGCTGTGCCTGGCATGAAAAAAATATGTGTTTTGCGAACAAACAGGCATAGCTTAAAAAGAAGTTACTGTCTTCCTGATGGTAGTCATTGTCTTGAGAAATGTTAGTCAATGTGTGGACACTCGTAATTTGGGCTGCTGCAAAACCAGTTGCATTATCTTTAAAAAAAAAAAATTAAAAAATCTTTGAAGGTGGTTACATCAAGTCAGTGGATTAGTGCAGTCCAGCTGTAAGAACAATGACAGCGCAGGATGTTTGTGCCCTTAACGTGGCAGTGCACTGAGATGACCACTGCAGCATGATTTTGAGTGATCATAAAGAGAGCAAGGTGGCATTTTTCTCAGAGACTGTGAAATTGGACAATTTAGTGTTCAAGAGGAAGATAGTAGATGCTTGGGTATATGTTTGGCTTTCCCCTGTGGGTGAAATAGGAATTGGAATAGAAGGTGGTTGCAGTAAGTAGATGCTTGAGCAGAGAAATATAAAACAACTGTTTGTTTCAGTGGTGTTGGCCCATGTAAATTAGTTTAAATATAGAAGATTAATTTAAAATGTAAGAATATCTGTAGGGAGTAAAGGGAGGAACCTGATCGAAGGGAATTGCTTTTACCTACTGTTTCAAAATGAAAGAGTTGGAACACTTGACTTGTGTTGTGTCGCAATTCATAGTGAGCAGTTGTTTTTATGACTGAAATTTCTGGTTTGAAAGCTCTTAATTTAGTGACATTGTAAGAACTGAGTTTTTTCTTTTTAATATTTTTACTTCCTTTTAAACTTATGTTGGTCACTTAACACCTGTATTTTGATTATATGAAGTAAGATGTGAAGAGGTTTGTCATTGCATATGGGGAATATTCACTAAAGGATACTGGGTTGAGTTTAAAAAGCTGAAGACAGATTTGGTTTTGAAGGTTCATTTGAAAAACCCCAAACACACACAAAACCCGGTTGATCCTTCGCATGGTACTTGATCAGAGAGTTGAGTGCAAATAGAGTCAGGAGAATGACTGGGTATGTGGCAGCTTGGTGATCACCAATTCAGACTGTCAGACTGCAAGGACCAGATCGCTCGACCTCTTGTATTTTGCAGAGCATTAAACTGCAGCTGGTTTCCCGCTGTGTTGAGCATAACTTTTATCTACCCATTTGTTTGAGTCTTAAAAAAGGCATTAAAATGTGTGAGAAGACACTAAATCCAGGTGTGCATGCTCTGTTGGACTGTAGCCACAGGGTGGGAGGGTGGGGGTTGAGTGTTTCTGAAGGTATGTGTTTCCAGTGTGTACAGATGATGACACATCTGGGTGTCTGAACAGAGCAGATGAGCTTTGCGTTTCTTTTGCAGATTAAAGGAAGATTTAATATTTTTAAGTAGCAAAACTGTCATTGCAAACTAAGCTGCGCAAGAACGATCTGTGATTTAATAGGCTAAAGTAGGGTACTTGTTGAGAGCAATACATGGATCACCAGTTTTGTCTTGGAAGGCATGTGCACGCTTAGGTACACAGTGTAACTGCTTCAATCACTTGCCGTGCTCTCAGTGCCCCGGTGGAGATAATTGATGGTGTGTTTACACCTGACCTCCCTCTTGTATTTCGGGTTGCTGGTACTGTCCTGCCTTGTGCTGACCTGAGGTTTACTTCTATTTTCAAAGCGCCTTTGCGGGCTCAGTGTGGGTAGATGAGCTTGTGGCCCTCAAGGCAAGGAGAGATCTGGCAGACGTGGTTCCCTTCACCTCCATTGCACCCCAGTTCCATGCATTTCTGGGGAGCTCCTGGCTCTAGAGTGACCTTCACTGGCAAAATTTTCCAGTGATTTATCTCATGCTCTATCTGTTTTCCTCGGGTCATCCTCACTTCAATAGTGAGAAGAGGGAAAGCTATACAGTACGTTATGTTTTTTTTATTATTGAAGCATGTTGATATTTATCTGTTTTCCTTATGTTAACACTGAAAGTAGGAAAAGGTATTTTTGCATCTTCTGAAAAGCAACAATCTCCCTAAAAATCTCACCTGTTTGGTTCCTTCAGAAACATTTCGTTTCAGTATGAATTATTTAATGTAGTCACTTTCTTTACAGATGATGACTTTGATCAGTTTGATAAGCCTGGTGCAGAAAGGTCTTGGAGAAGAAGAGCTGGAGATGACGACTGGGACAGGTAGGTAGAATATTTTCATGTTCAGTGTCTGTATGCTGAATTACATTACTCTGTTTTCCCATTCTGGCATTTTGTATTCTAACATTTAGAGTAGCGCGTGTTTAGATACTAATGAAGATGTTGGTTGTTATGCATGTGTCAGCCGGTGCTGGATTGTGCCAAGCATATACTTGCCTTGAGGAATCTAGAGAGCACTATGAAGAGATACCATTTAAAATTGGATAAATACAAACTATTTGTGGCGTGTAATTAACTTTGCAGTTAATGTCCTGGTTTTCCTTTTAAATATTTACTAGCTCTCAGTGGTTTATATAGTTAGATTTTGCTACTACTTGAATTTGCCCAACTTAATTTTTTTTTTTTTTAACTAGATGTTTAAATTCTTATCCTCAAACTCCTACTCCAGTTTTACATTGGGGAAGAGTCATGGAACTTAGGTATGGGCTTTTATTGAAAAATATAACTGTCGTAAAGATTCAGAAGTATGTATGAACTTGGTTATTTTGGGGGAGAATAAGAGCATGTTCTTTTATGAGAAGGCACTTTATGAGAAGGCACTCTAGCCAGGGAAGACTTAAATTGAGCTGCTGGCTAGACTTGTCTGTCCTTTCTGGGAGAAAACTTTTCAACTTTTTTTTTTTTAATTATTCTTTTTTAGTAATAGAGAGACTTGTTCAGATTTTGCCAGTGGTTTTCACTGTAAAAAAGGGGGGAAAAAATGTTCCAAATAGATTTTTATGTTTTCTAATAATCATTCAAGTGATTGTAGTAAACAAATTTTACTCTAAGTACTTTTCCACTGAGCTGAGCCCTTGGAGTGAATCATTTACTCTACGTTTATCATCATTCCAGAGGGATTAGTTTCCTCTTCTGTGCTTTTCTGCTAGGTGAAGTGGGTAGTTTTCATTGCTCTAGGAGGTGAGTAAGAGCGAATAAGGAATTTGGACAGTAGTTTCGGTACTCAGGGTGTTCTGCTGTATGCTGGTGAGGGGTGGCTGCTCTCTGTCATGCCAGCAGAGCTGTTTGTGGGTTGGATGGTGAACTGCATCAAGGAACCGATCTGGTTTGAGTGTGTAATTAAAACAACTTGTTCGAGCTGGGCCACTGTACCGTGCTGCCTCACAGCCCCAACTCTGAGTATTTAGAAATGCTGAAGCCAGTATTAGAGGTGAAATGCTTCGTATTAGAATATTTTCTGAACTTTTTGCCTTTGCTGACTTCATGGTCTGAATAGGTGGGCTCTTAGATGCTAAATGGTTGTTTTCAGCTGTCCTACTCTTACCACGTCAGAAAATTTGGAAGAGTCAAACAGCCATTGTATTGGAAGTTGTAAGCTGATTACAATGGCAAACTCCCTGTGGCAAAGCTGTTGTAATAGGACTTGAGAAAGGTTATAGAGTATTTTCAGTAAGCCGAGACTTTGAAGCACACAAGGAAGGATTCAGTTTTAGAAAAATGTTTTTGTTTGTGTTTATTATTAGCTGCATCTAATTTAAGATAGATGATGAAAGAATTGTATTGTTTATTCTTCAGTGAAGTTGGAAGGGAAGTGGTTTCAGGTGCAGTGCTGGAGATGCCAGAATTTCATCTTGCTGATCACTTCACAAATTTTTTTTTTTTACCACTGTAATATAATATTATTTGCATGCATTGGAATTTATATATTTTTTATTATTATTAATTCTTTTTAGATTGCCAAGCTGTCTTTGGAAGTGTTAAGTTCTATGGATGTCTGGGCAATTAAAATGCTGTACATGGATATGTTGTTGCCTGATGTAATTGCTTGATTTTTTTTAACTACTGTCCTAATTCAATATAGGACACAGTTTTTTGAAGATGGAAGAAAGGCTGAATGAATACAGTAGACTTTTTTTTTTAATCCTTCATGCTTATTTTTTGCAACCTAAATCACTTTTTCTGTAGGGGAGGGTGAAGGGGTTATGCTGTTAGTGATGGATCTCGACGAACCATCAACTCTTACTGTGTTGGTACTGCTGAGTCCCATCCCCCAGTCATTTAAATAATTTTGAATTTCCAGATCTCTTTCCTTCCTCAAACATTGGAGAGTGGTAACTGAGAGTTGGAAGGCCCCTCTTATTTGGGAGTACAAGTGTAACATTGTTCTTGGAGAATTTTTCCCATTACATTTTTTTACAAATTCTTTTCCTGGAACACTTGTGTCCTTGCTACTGCTCATGTTTAATGAGGCATGCTCATGAAATTGGAGGCCAGAAAGGGCCAGTCTGACATCTTTATCACAGACTGTTAATTTATACATTTATCTCTATAAGTAGTGCAAAGCTTGGATTTGGGAAAAACATGCCATTCTGGTGCTATTCTGTGAGTGACAGGGCTGATTTAGTAGTTAACTTTTGATGAAATTTACTTGTTCTGAGCCTTCTGTGAGATGATTTATTTCTCTACACTGGCAGAGAACTTTTCACTACTTATCTCTTTATTATTATTTTCTCTTCCTCATTTGGTGAGCTGAATTAGGGGAATGTTGAGGCAGGGGAGGAAGTGGGTCTGTCTCTTGTGAGAGCAGTGAACTTTTGGATTATCATAACCCTTATTTCTTAGAATTGTGGTTTTGGAAAGACCTTTGTGTGTTGGTGATAGTGAGGATGACTTGCCTTTGGAACTATTGCAGATGTGGACTTTTATTCCAATTTATTTTGTGTGGTTTTGTGTGGTATCAGATTGCAACCATTCATTTTTGGCTGTTTTTCTCAGCTAGCCTAAGATCTTTTATTATCTGTTGTTTTTTAAATAGTCAGATCTGGTAAATCTGGTCCCTCTTCTTTCTGATAGATAGATTTGGCTGTTTTAAAAGAAGCTTGAGAGAGCTTGACTTTACTGTGCAGCCTTTTCACTGTTACTTTGTTTATTCAAAAAGTTACCAATGGTGATTTTTCTTCTTTTAACTTACCGGTGAAAATATTGAATGACACGGAATATTTTAATCAGTTTGTGGGACATTCTGTGAAACACTTTTATTTCTGTTATGATCTTCATTTATGTGCTAGTGCTAATTTTTTCGACTCTCGAGTTACTACTTGGCTTATTAGCCAAAGCTTTTAAAAATTTAGAATACATATGCAATTACTTCTATTGACCAAATGTTTAATATTTTTTTAAATAGTCACATTGAGGATGTTTTTTAGTAATGTGTTGAATAGCCCTAACTATGTTTAGATGATTAATTGAATCTTTTGCTTTCTTTTCTATTCATTTTTGATATGAATTTCTTACTACATGAACTTGCTTTTCATCTTTGAATGCTGCTATTACACACTCTTGCAGTCTTTTGGAATTTCTGTACTGCAGTTTTATTAAAAGCTGTCCGTGGTGGACCATAGTACTGGGAACTATTTTCAAACCTTTTGGTGCATTTGTCAGATTACTGGCAGCTGAAGAGATTAGTGACTTTCTCCTGCTTCAGTTTTGGCTCTAAATTCCTCTGAAACTATTTCTGTTATGGAGACTTTTTTGTCTCTGAAATAAAGGGCTTAAATTCTAGTCATTTTGCTCTTTGAATGTATGATAAGTCTTATGTCCTAATTTTTGTTTAATATTGCAGTGAGCACAAAACAATTGCTATTTATTAATATTCAGTCATTCCTGGAACTGTTTGAGATCAGTAACTGTGGACAAATACTGTGTACTGATGATAACATCCTGTTCAGTGCTGATGTGGAATATCGTCTGTTCTCTTCTAGCTCACAACATTTTTTTTTCCCCTGCATTATCTGTACAGTAACCAGCTCTGAAAGAGATGTACCCATCTGCGAAACCAACTTTTAGCAGTGATTTTTGTCTCGGGAATGGCTTTCCCCATTTTCAAATGTTTCCTGTATTGTCCTAGGGAACTCTTATATGTATTCCCATTCTGTTCATACAGCCCATTCTCTCTGGGATATTTAATTTTTATGGGGGTTTTTTGTTTGGTTGGTTTTTTTTAAAGGTGTGCAGGTAGAACTAGGTTCACATTCTTGAATTACAGCTCATGAATTACACTCTTGAATTACAGGGAAGTGGTTGAGTTGCCATCCCTGGAGGTATTTAAAAGACATAGATGTGGCACTTAATGTCATTGTTTAGTGGTGGACTTGGCAGTGGTAGGTTAGTGGTTGGTCTTTTCCAGCCTAAATGATTCTGTGGTTTTCATAGTTCAAATCACTGGCATCTCATTTTAGTATTAGGACACGCATGTTCTGATACGGGCATTTGTCAGTAATAAGTGTTTATTACAGAAGGGGGATTCTGTTTATTCCTGTCAATAGATAATTCTTACACTGAATGAAGAATGAAGTTAAGCAGTTGTCCTAAAGTTTAACTAATCTTGACTGTAGTTCTTTGTGTTGCATCCTATTTATGGGACAGATGCTATGTGATAGCAGAAGTTTTATAAGCTGGATATTTCTATGCCTTCTGAATTCTTAGCCACGCCCATTAAGATGGCAAAACATATATGTGATTTTGTCATCCTACAAAAGTCTGTTTGACCTGACCCTCAATGTGAGGAGGAGGGAATAAAGTATTTATGAAAGATCTAGGCTGAAGTGACTCCCAAGCCAGCCGGCCTCCCAGTGCCTCCTTGCTGAAGTGCAGCTTGGGGCACAGGGTGGCCTAGATGGGGTCTTGCCTGTGGGACATTACTGTTTCTCACTTGCTTCTTCCCTGGGGAGCTGGGAACAGCAGTTTGGACAATATGCCCAGATGGCCTTGAAGGGAAGGCTCTAGAGTGGGGACTGAGCTAACTGTGTGTTAAATGCCTGCGCCTTGTCTGGGTGTATGTGCTGTGTTACAGTTGGAGGGATGTGGAAAGGACAACACAGGAAAACGAAAAGTTGGGTTTTTACAGCGTATACCCTGTCTGGTGTTTGTTTGCTAAGGTGCAGCTTCTTAAATTTGTTAATCTTTTCCAGTGAACTTGATGATGACTTGCTTGGAGAGGATTTGCTAACTGGCAAAAAGGTAGGAGATGAGCATTAAAATGAATTATTACATGTATTAAAATATGAATGTTCTTCAACTTGCCCACTTCAGTTGTTTGCTATGGCCTTTTATGTATATTATGGTCACCTCCCTGAAGCTTGACAGCCATAGGTACTTGAGATCTGCCCTGTTGCCAGAGCACCCTGCACCCGGAGCTGTTTCCTTTTGTCAAGTACCTCCAAGTGTGGCTTTTTAAAATACAACTTTTAGAAAAATTGTTTTTTTTCTGAGATAATATTTACTCTCATAACACACAGTTCAAAAAGGAGATGGTTCTCAAAATCAGTTTCTCAGTAGCTCATATTGACTTAACAAAAAACAAAACAAAACACACCCCAACCCTAAAAACAAACAAAAAAACCTGCCCCAAACCCCCCAGTTATGCCTCTTGAGTGCTGATTAGCATTCTGGAGAACTCACTTCAACTGCTGGTTTCCTGGCTATTAAAAGTTGCTCATCAAAATACCAGCAGTATTTACCAGAGAGTAAAAAAAGCAATCAGTGGTGTCTGTTGAAGTTCCACTCACTGCACACAATCCACTACTACTTTGTCTGACAAGTAGGCAGAGCATTTCTCCTTGACAGTGAGGGAAGAATATGAGAGCAGCTAGCGTCAGAGAACATGAACGAGTTCCCCCATGTCTGTTATGGACTCCTCACTCCGATACCTATTTCTGAAATTGAACTCCATGAAAAGAACTAAATGCATGTTTGGATTTGCCAGGTATCTGCAGCAGAAGACAGGGTTTCTGTTTGGGAAATCAAAACTGTCTAGTTGCCTCTTTGTCCTCTTTATCTGCTAAATGAATTAAGTTAGAAAATAGTTTTTAAAGTTTTAGTTGGAGATGAATAGGTTTGTTAAGAAACCCGGACCTAGTAAAAGTTTTGAGTTTTAATTGATGTCATTTTTTATAATCACACTCTAAACATTGGAAGTTATGTTCTCGAAATTATTCTGTAAGTAATCCCTATTAAAGACAGGAAGTTCCTTTGTCTTGTGTAGTGGTTTAAAAACGAAAATAAAATTCCAGGAGGATTGAGATTGTGGATGTGCGTTGTTACGCAGTTATCAAAACATAAGCAGTTAACGTTGCATACATCTTAGTAGTTGAAATGTGAGTTGCTAAAGCTACTTACTTATCTTACAAAAATTATCTGTGTGAATACTAACTAATACTAGATTTCTCTGATGTATTATGTGTTCTTGTGCTTTTTCTATTCTTGTTTTCAGTATCTGTGAGTATGGACTCATATGGTGGAGTGATAATAGATTTCTCAGGAAGTTTTCCCTGAGCTATTTAGGCTAAACTTGCTTCTACCTAATCTCATCCTAGTACTTTTAGATAAATCTACCCTTGTATAACCTTTCTGCCCCTATTACTTTAGGGGATGGAAATGAGGCTGCTGAGCAGAACTGCAGTTATCTCTTCCTAATGGGTAATTATTTAAAAAAAAAAAAGGTAAATGAGACAAGTGAAAGTATGATAGGCAAATTAGGAGGAGTTCAGAAAAGGCATAGTATTTTCTTCTGGATTTTTTTCTTCACTTACAAACTAATGATGGCTTTTCAGTTTTCTTCATGTCATATCCTTTCCTTCAGTCTCCTAAGCATCTCTGCTCTCTGGAAACTGCAGTAACTTACTGGATTTTCTTGACAAGTGCATTAAGGTCACAAGTCAGTGTACTAAAGATAACCTTTCTTCCTGTTGTTTCTGAAGTGAGTTGTCGTTTTTGGCTATATTTGGGAAGGTACCAGTGAAGAGCGTTGATGGCTAGGCAGGTTTGAGTTTTGTAAATTTCCATAACCCTGTCAAACATTTATTTTCAGATTAGTTGTCTTATGTAGTGTATTTTTTCTCATTGAATTAGGCAATTTCATTGAAGGTACGGTCTTAGTCTGGGATGCGTTCTTCACAACAAATAGTGTTCGGAAGTTTCAGTAGTTTGAGTATGTAGTTAAAAGTTTATATCCTTTTTTTATAACCTTTATGTTAATGATTGACTTTTTTTGAAACCTAGAATCAGTCAGACTTGTCAGATGAAGAGCTGAATGATGATCTTCTGCAAAGTGACAATGAAGAGGAACCAGAATTTCGGTATCTCTTTTCTAAATCTTGTGTTTTGGATAAGTCAAAGCTATTAATGACTACTACTACTGATAACTAATAGCTACTAGACTGAAGTTATTGGTCTATATACTTAAAATAGTTTTGCTTTTTACTAGCCAGCTACTTAATGATGTATATGTAATGTGTTAGTAGCATTGTTAGCATTTCAGTAAAATTATTTTTTGTTTATTTGAATCTAATAAATTTAACTCAAGTCTATAAAAAAAGCTTATGAAGAAGAACCAGTGTCATCTCCTATGCATAAATACTTATAGAGCTGTTCTGTGCCTTTGTGGTATTGTAGGCTTCCTTCTCCTGTAAAATGCTTTTCTGCCATCTTTCTTTTAAAAATATATCTTGCCTCCTAAGATGCTGAGGAGGGACCTTCATAGTACATAGGGCTTGATTTGTGGCTTATATATTTGTGTACAATTAGATAGCAGAAGATTTTGTACAGAGTTCATAGGCTTGAGCAGGTACTTCCATGGGATTTCTGAGGATCCTGCCCTGTGAGTAGTCTGTGGTGATACAGCTCCACAACTGAATTATGGGCAATACAAGTCAATATGACACGTTTACTTTTCAAGGTGGGCTGCAGGGGGAAGGAAGATGCTTGAGATGTAGAAGTGATGCAGTACCACTGCTGCTTTTGATGGCCTGTGTTTTGCCAGCTTTTCCTTTACTTATTGCGTGCTGTGCTGTCATGTCATCTGAAGGGACATGGAAAAAAAAGTATAACTTATGTATATGTTGCTCTGAGATCTCCTTTCTGTCCTTGGCTGGAATTAGGATAAGGAGTCCTGTTCCCTGTGTTAGATTGATGAGGGTGTGGCAAAATACCTCAGACCATCAGTCTCTCCATTGGCTTCTGTTTTCCTCACTGCAGGATTGAGGGTTGGACTGTTTGCTTCAAAATGGGGAATCCCAGTTACAGTCCTTACTGTTTCTTCTCTGGGTTTCCTCCTTGTGAGCCCTGGGCAGCAGGGATGGCTATGTGATTGCACGAGAGATGAGAAGGTATCTGAAGTGGGATAACGTTGCTCAGTGGAGGCAGGTTTCTGTACACAAGTCTTGCATTTTTAGCAGTTTTATTGTGGGAGAGCGAGAGCCTTGCTCTGCTCCTTTCCCCTCTCTCTCTGTTTCCATTCAAACTCATTTATGCCTCTCTAGGTGGGAGGATAATGATAATCCTACATAACGTCTTCATTTTCATGTTAAATCTTCTCTGTCTTATAGATGCAAATAGCTTAAAGCTGCCTAGACCTTGGTCCCCCCAACTTAGGAAAACAGTGAATAATAGTAATGTCATAAAAATAATCTATTTGTTTCTTTGTACCTGGACCCCTCAAATCAAGAAGAGCTTTTCCCCCCTCTGCTTTTCTAACTAGTCTGCAGTTGGGTAGTTGCTCTTTTATGTGTTGATGGCACTGGCTATTGTAAACAATAAATTCTGAGTTTTGCTTTTCCTCTAGATTATAAACTTGCCAGGTTTTTTATTGATTGTTTTTTTTCCCCAGTGTCTGTGCCAGTGCTGTTACTAAGTTAGAATGAGTCTTAAGCATTTAAATGACAGTTCTTGACTATATATTTTACATTAAGTAGAACATTAAATCTGTCATAAAAATTTAAGTTTAAGATAATCAACAAGGAACAATATTAATACATTTAATAAAAAATAATTTACTAGCGTATTCTGAAAGATTGGGAAAATGGATGCAGTTATAGTAATTTTGTGTGTTTTTTGTTAATCTTGGAATTAAAATTGAATCCAGTCTGCTTTGGTTACCAAGCAGGACTTTTGCCAGTTTGACCTGCTAAACCATCTGGTTGGTTTGATTCCCCTGGTCAAATAGCCTGCAGCTGGTGATAAGCTGCGGTACAGTATGTATTATGACAATATGGCACGGAGTCAAATAGTGCGTGAGGTATGATTTGGTCCACCAACTTAGAGAATTTGTATTTGTTTGTTTTGTTTTGCTAAATTTTTGTGAGTAGTTGCCTGTTATGCTTCAACCTCTGAATTTCCCCCCTGCCTTATACCATAGTTCTCAAGGTGTCACAGTTAGCCTCAATGCTTCATCTGGCATACTTACATCGTACGAACTCTCTGAGACCATCAACGATCCATCAATAGAACATGAGTCTGAGTACGACCAAGGGGAAGATGAAATTGTTTATGACAAATCTGAAGCACCTGAAGTATATGCTTCAGAGTATGCAGAGGAAGGACATTATGAAGGCAATGATCCTGAGCTGACAGAAGACCAAATAGAATATGGGGAAGAGCCTGGAGAAGAAGATGAAGTGCTAGACCTTGAAATCAATGAACCCCTAGATGAATTTCCAGTGAGTTTCTTTCTATTGTATCTTTGAAGATAACATTGCTTCACGTGCATAGGGGTTTAGACTGATCTGAAATCTGTTTACCTCCCTAGGGAGGAGGGGAAATTAGACCTATTATCACTGTCTGCCAGTTTCTTTATCTAGGCTGTGACAAAGTTTGTGTTGACAGCTTGTTTGGCGGTAGGTAATGCTCCTTTGTCATGCTGGAAGGCAGTTGAGAATCATGACCTTGAGGATTGTATCCTTAAGGAAGAAAACAGCTTTGTGTGGTGGAGATACACTGCCAATTGTTAGAAGTACTTAATGCAAAAGCTTTTATCCAGGCTTTAGACAAGATCTGATAAAGTCCTTCGAAGGTGAAAAGATTATTGACCTGCTAAAGACATCTTTAAGGTGCTAATATCCCAAAGTGATTGATGTCCTGCTCGTTCATCCTTTTTGTAAGTGAGAACTGTCTAAACCTGAATAAAGAGATTGGAGGTTAGTTCAGAAAATGTCACCTGCATAATTCCATATAATTTAAGCAGTGTATTAGAGGACGTGCATTGGCTTTAATTGCTAGTGAAATGGTTTAATCTTAATTAAAACTGAATGTGATCAGTGAGGTATTTTAAAATACAAGTAAAATTAAGAAAGGTTTTGCTCTTGTTTTACATTCATAATTGTTCATAATTTAACCCATTTGTACTATGTTCAATAGAATACATAAAACATTAATAGGATGTTTTAAGAATGTTTATTTTTTTTGATGGGATAAAATCTGATCTTAATGTATATGTGCTATAGATGGATGTTTCCTTTGGTAAGAAAGTGCTGCAGTATTTGCTTCGTGAACTTGTAATCAAAGGATGTAGAAGTACAGAAGTAGATGGGGCAAACAGGAGTAGATGGGATCTTTATCATGACATGGCTGGGATCGGAATTAAAACTGGTTTTGATAATACTGAAATTATTGTCTAGTTAAAAGCACTGCTAACTGTATCATAGATGATATGTCACTTACAGTTGACAGTTCTAACAGATAGAATACTTCTCTTCCCATTCTGGAAACAGTAACAATGCATACAGGCCCTGTCTCTTAATGGGTTTGTGAATCTGAAAAGTGGGCCTGTGTTTTTTTCACCTTCATGTGTTACTGCCTTAGGATGAAGATTACATGCAATCATATAATGAGCAAGGAATGGAAGAACACGAAGAATATACAGCTGATGAGGAGCTGGAAGAATCTCAGACAATGCCAAATGAATCAGAAGAGGTATGTGGTGAATTTAATGGAAACTTAAAATAACTAGTGGTTATTGAATTTGCATGTGTAGAATTGCCCATATTGCTGGGTAAGAACTGATGCAACTTTGCCAGTGTTGAGTTGGTGGTGGTATTACTCTTTCTGTAGGACGAATTGTGGTAACATCTGTATTGTCAGGTACATCGGATCCCCTCTCTCCCTTGGGATGACGAAAATCATAAGAGAGAGCTCAAAATGTCCATATTTAATCTTAGCTTCAACATTAGAAACTTTAGGGGCCCTCTCAGGTAGGAGAATCATAGTAGTACTGCATGCTGTCTGTTAAATCTCTAATAGCTGTGGTGCCTCACTTCCCAGGTGGATAATTTGCTGCTGTTGGGACTGTAGATACAGTTCTGGGGATCCCGCTTTGAAGAGTGTGAGCATGGACGGTTCTGTACGTTAGAAAGGCAAAGGTCAGATTGTTTGTAGTTTTGAAAGAAGTTGTGTTGGGACTGAAATTTCTATGAAGTTTATCTTAATTTTTTGATGAGGAAAAAGGATGAGTTCCTTCATTTGCCAGAAGAAAGCTTATGCCAAAAACTGTCAAGTAGATGCTCACTGGTTATAGCCTGGAACAGTGGTATTGTACCTGTTATTAATTTGCAGCAAGTTTTTGATGTGGGATTTTTTCCTTTCCCCACCAGGAATCTGCTTTAATATTACTTTTATTCCAGATCTTAATTAAATAGGATTGAATGGATTACCTGCTGAGCAGTGGAGTCAGAGTGTGTTCCCTCTTTGGAGCTTTAACTCATCAGGAAATTAATTCCTCAAAGACACAGCAGCGTTATTCTATGAAGTTCTAACAAATGGGTGTGCTGCGATACTCCAGTTGTATCAAACTTTTATTATAATAAAACAACTTTTCTTTGATAGGTGGAGAGATGCATTGAAAGGGGACACTTGCTTTGTTGAGTCTTTGCTGTTGCGAGCGTTACATCTGACACTAAATATACTGTAACGTAGTTAATTTCCTACTTCCTAAGTATTAAATCTACCCTTCCAAAGAACTGTGAAACACTTAAACACTTCTTATTCATTCACTTGATTATATACACTTTCCTTCTGGTGTTTTAGAAGCAGACTGGTACATTTGTGCTATCTGCCACCACAGTCTGTATGAGATGATGAAAGCGCTGCACATTCTGTAAAATTAAGTACATAGCTGGGATTCCCTCTCAAACGTAGTGCTTTAAAAAAGCACAGCTTTGGTTTTAGAGTATGGACTAGTGAGAATTCTGTAGTAATCATGTTGTCTAAATTTGTCCAATTCAGAATTAAATTCCTTTCATTCAAAGGATAACATTAATGCAGGTTTTTAATTTATTTTGTTAATAGAGCTTTTGGAGAATTTGTTCATCATGTAACGTGAATGTTGTGGCCACATCTGTATTCAGTTAATGTACATTGTGGCTTGCAGATTGCCACATGCTTCTTGCTTCCAAAATAGTACCGTCTTTTTATTCCTTTATTATTTCTTATGTAGCTTATTTACATTTATCAGTAGGCTCACAATTGCACTCTTCAAAATACCACCGAGAGAGAGAACCTTTATAGAACGTGCACTTCTGTTTAGTGCCTGGTTAGATGCATGCCTCCAGCTCTGAATAGTTTTGTTCTTTATTCCAGCATTATATAACAGCGCTCCTCCTTAAGTCTCATAACATTCACTGCTTGTGAACAAGGGTAATTGTTGGCATTCTCCTGTAGAAAATGCAACACAAGAGTGGAGCTGTAATGGATGTGGTACAAATAAATAGCATTATTATTTCTTGATTGAAATTTGGCAGCTAGATAACTGAAAGCGAGTTGATAGAGAAAAGGATTTGGAAGTGTTGTATTTTAGGCAGTTTCCACATTAAAACCAAATAAAGCCTCTTACTATATTGCATGAAGAAATTTTATAAACAAAGGGAAAAGCTGACTGGCTGGGGAGTTGGAACATGATGGGGGGAAACTGGTGAATAAGGGAAGTGAGACATCTGTTAAGAGTGGCACTCAGGTGGGAGGTGTGAGGAAAGAGGCAGGAGAAGTTTGTGTCCTTGCCCAGATTGGGTTCAAGGCTTGCTTTTTAACTTGATACTTGATTTGAAACAGTGCTTAGAACTTGGATTTTGAATAAATAACATTCTCTGTGGAACTTCCTTGAAAAATGTAGCAGTGCTTCAGGAAATATTTTTGCCTTCCTAAGGTACCAATACCCAGAAGTTTCAGCAGCAAATAGGTGTGGTAAAACTGTCAGTTATGTCACGTCCTAAATATTTTCAGCAGAATAATATCACTAATTATTTCTGTGAAATGTTCATAAAAATGTAACCTCTTGAAATTAGAATTCACAATTTCTTTGTTTTATGTTGGGACTAGTCTGTGAAGTCTTCTGATAGGGGCTTTCTCCCTGCATAAATTTAAACTGTGTCTTGGGTTGTGCTGATAAGATGAGGACTTAATTCAAGAAAACACTTCATGAAGAAGTGCTGCGTGCTGCTTTTCTTTTGATAGAATACAGACTTGGAAAAAAAGGCCAATGTGTATACCTGTTGAGTTGTTACATCTGTGTTTAGGCAAAACTTGGGCATTTTCGTTCAAGTTTGAAGGCACTACTTGTCAGCCTGGAGGAAAATTATGACAAGAGTGCAAATCAAAACAGCCAATTTTTAAATATATTTAGAAGCTCTTAGATTTGTTTTTTATTCCCATTTTTCATCTGAGGTGGAGATGCCCTTGGAATAGGTGTAACGTCCTCTTACCTGCTCCATGTTATTTTGTGATCACTTAAGATTGAGCAATTGCTGCTGTTTCAGTGTTAGCCTCTGGTAGAAGCTTCCACTGCTTATTTTCTAGCTAGTTAATAAAAGCTCTTTGTTTCACCTTCATAATGTTTCATGTGGAAGGGATCTGGTTTAGCCTTTACAGTGCTTGCCTGTTCTGTACGTCTTGGCGATCTCTGACACAAAGCTCTCCCGAACACTTGACAATCCCATGTTAGGAGGATCCTGTGCTAAGATCGGCGTTTGTCATGCTGACTAGTGTTTTCTCCTGCTTTCCTTGAGCTCTGTCTGTTATCAGCCCTGCAGCTGTGTGGTAAGCTGTTTGGGGCAGGAGCACTCACTCTTTCTCCATAGCAGATCGTGACTCAGTGCAGAGACTTCTGGTCAGTGGCTGGGATTTATGGCATAATTATTTAATGAGAGTGGGAGAAAACTGTGGCCTTGTGATAGAAGAAGGGTCATTATTTTTCTTTGTAAGGAAGAGTCAGCAAAGCTCTTTGGTAGCTTTGTGCAAGGTGTCATAATGGGAAATGATAAGCTCCCTTTGATGAGAGCTGCTAAGAATCCTGGGCTGCCTAGTCTGGTCAGGTGACCTCAAGTGGCTGTTCAAGGACTGTTTATGTATATGCAGAGATGTTAATGGTTAGCAAGTATTAAATAGAATTCTGTAAGTACAAGTATGTATTAATTCTATGTCTGTGCTTGTGTCTTCTCCTGTATTAATTTTGGTTGAAACGTAGAATCCATTCATATACTGTAATCTTGGCAAAACAACTCATCCTGTTAGGCTGGAAGTTGGAAAAGATGATCTAAACAAGTCTTGCGTGCTGCAGCTATTGAACAGATTGCAGGGGAAGGGTGTGTGCTCCTACACAGCTCAGGTAACCTTTCCTGGAGCTATATGTAGAGAACATATGGCTGGCTGTCAGACGTGTTTGTGTCTCCATCGCAACTAATATAAATCCCTCAATAATACATGTAATCAGACTTGGACATGGGTCAGTTAGCATTCTCGAGCACTGCCTTTCCTTGGTGCCTGCTTTTTCATTAGCTCCTTTGATTTTTTTTGTCTTTGATACTTAACGCTTGTACGGCTGTTGTTTGTTAATAGGTGGCATGAGCATTATACTGATGAATAAAGTGAGTTAGACCCAGAAGACTACAGAATTAGTATAAGTAGCTAAGAATAGAATGGTGCTGGTCTAGAAAAGTTTGAGAAATGTTTTTTTATTGTTGCATAGGGAAGTAGTTGTCTTGTAGTCTGTTACAACTTGGATTTTGTTTTTTTAGAGTGGATATATATATTTTTTTCCAGAATGAGTAATTATCAAAAGGCAACAGAGTTTCCACGGGTATTTCCTGTAGTATTTTATTAAAGCATTACAAAAATTTTCAGGACAGTGCCGACTGTATTAACTATTCTAGTCCTGATTCTGCAGTCTGAGCCACACATAGAGCCTTGCTCAAGTAAGTTTTGCAGGCACAGAGGAGATTACATGACTGAGACTGTTCTTTGATGAATAAAACCTGGAATTTCGATGTAGCTTTTAAGGAGCACGGACATAGAGAGTGGATGTGTCTGGGATTCATGCTCTAAAGTAAAGCAGGAGGCTCAGTATAGTGAGAGAACATGTCTTGTAAAACAGTCATTCCAGCTCTGACTTCCAAATCCTGATCCTGAAGGGAAAGTTTTTAAAGACAAGCATCACATCAGTAATATTATGGGGTTTATGATATTTAAAAACAAAGAGAGATACTGCTACTCCTTTTTCTTTTGGGAGTCCTTCTTTTGAAAGTAAAACACTAACTCAAGGGTTTTTTTCCCTTGATTTTTTGTTTGGTTTTATTAAACTATGTTAGCATCTCTTTCCTTGCTAACATCCCTCCTCTCTTCCATGAGTCTCAACTGCCTGTCCTCAGAGGTGCTTTGATTATACATGGATATGTTAATCAGACCAGTTGTGCTCAATTTTGGTTTGCTTTTGAGGTTTGGATTTCTTTCAGTCTTGAAGGATTTTTTTTTTTTTCTGCTATCCTGTCTGTTGTTTTTAGCTGCATTTTTTGATATAATAAAGTTGTTATATAAAAGTAAATATTTTTTAAATACATAAGCTTTAAAGCTTTATGTAGGCTTTGACTATTCCCTTAGCTGTATCTTAAAGCATTTTTGTGAGGCCAGAAAATGTGGTGCTTGAGTGTTTGCTTGGAATGGATAAAACACATTGGGATCAGTAGCCCGTTAAAGCCTGGTTACTAAGTGTACAGGTCATTTCTTCGCCAGACCGCGAAGTTGGAATAGCTTTGAGCTTCAGTTCATATGGTGTGCAGTCTTTTAAAGTAGACGCTGTGCTGTCTTGCCAGATCCTGTCTCTGATCTTACTTCTCCTGTTTCTTTTCGGTTGTGGATGAAGTCAGGATCCTGGATAAGGCAATTTGCCATCTCTTGCACCATTTTGCCATTAGTTCTTTTTCTTAATTTGTGACTTAGTATCTGTCCACCTGACTGACACTCTTGCTGGGTCTTTTTCGTATAAGTTACTGAACTAATCTGGTTAATTAGAAGATTAAACCATTTTTTGCATGTTACATTTCACTCAATTTTAACTGTCCTCGAGCAACAAAAAAGTTATGATGTATTTAATGGCTTTACAAAGAATTAAAATGCATGTGCAGGCTCTAAGAAATGAACAAGTAGGCTTGCACAAGGAATAACCAAATACACAGTAACCAAATATTTTATGGAAAATCCTACTATATTAGAACACTTCTAATTTTCAACTCTAGAAATCAAATATAACTTGTGTAACATTCTGAACAGTAATTTTATCATGCCAGCACAGGAAAATTGATTTTTTTCTTTTTTTTTTTTTTTTGCATTTGAAGGAGAGGGATCCATTCTCATTTGGGACGTTTTTTCGTCTAAGTAAATGTTCTCTGTTATAGAAAGAACTGGAAAGTAAATGAGGACAAGGGAGTAGCATTCCTGTATACAAATTTAATATATCAAATTTTATCCAATCCTGTTGTTCATTTTCTTTGTCAATTGCTGAATTAAAACTGGGAAGTATTCAAGGAGTAGAAAAAGTAAAGACAAGTACAGTTAAACATACCTAGAGGGGTAAAATTTATATGTAAGGGAACTAGAGTTTGTTTTATTTATTTGTTTTTTTTTTTTTTTAACAACGTGCTACTGACAGTTGTTAACAAATGAAAAAAAAATTAATGATTTAATGTTTGTATTACTTGAATCTGGTAGTATCTGAGGTTTGCATCTTGGTCAATTCAGTGATAAAATGTCACTCTGTGTGCAAAAGTAGCTACTAATCAGATGGTGGTTCTGACTGGAGTTTCCATATTCCATTAAATATTGCAGCAAAACTGGTTTTCTCAATGGATTTTGCTATATAATTTACTATAGAATTTGTATCTTTAAAAGAAAAATTCACTGAGCTCTTAAATGTTCACTGAGTTGTGTATGAGAATAATGTATAATGCCAGCAAAATTTGAACAATGGGACCTTTAAAGAAAGCTTTGTCTCTTGATTCTCACTGATTATAAGAAAGTAGATTTTTCAGTTTACATGTTCTCTGTGTTTTGTGATTCAGGCAGGTATTGAATCTCTGGAACTTCAAGAAGAAACAAAAGAAGAATCTGATGAAGAGGAGGATGACGACGAAGAGTCTGGACGATTACGTTTCAAAACGGAACGGAAAGAAGGAACAATAATTAGGCTCTCGGATGTGACAAGAGAAAGGAGAAACATTCCAGAAACTTTGGGTGAGGTTTTGTGGCAGTGGTCTATTTTGAAGAGCTTATAATGAAAGAAAGTAGAAGACAGGCTTGCCAAAACTGTCAGAGAGGAGTTTAAAGGCAAAAGAACAGTTGCTTTTGAACTTAGACTGGCCTATATCCAAGTTGTCCAAAGTTGTATGTGGTGTGTGTAGTGTCTGTCTCCTTGGGAATAATGTTTAAGCAGATCATGTTTTGAAAAACAGCACAATGTTTGTTCATTGAGACTTTTGTGGTGTCTTCAAAAGCTTTCTTGTTTTCAAGCAGCATCTCTCTGATCTGTGCTTCTCTACATATCGTGGTGCAATACGTTTTAAGGAATGCCTTTGGACTTCCATATTGTGTTACCAACTGACAATCTTCACAGATCTTGTTACTTGTGTTCTGCTGTCAAATACCTGCACGTTTGCTGTTTTCCCCCAGGGATATAAGTGTGCTGTGAACTTGTTGTGTTCCTACTGTTAGGTTGGGCTAGAGAAATTCTAACTTGCTGGGCAGTGTGTTAGGAAAATAGGGAAACCCCTGTTTCCTAGGTTCAGCTTGTCTGACATGGAAGAGTCTGGATCTCTTACACCACCTTGATTCTTTAGGCAGTGTCTTTGTATTTGAGTAGCATAACACAAGTGTGTTTGTTTCTAGGAACGCTGCTCTGTGTAGCTAATGAATTTGCCACTACTAATTCAGAAGAAGCAGTAGATTTGAGACTTTCTTGCAGCTGCTCTGTTTTGGACTATAAATAAAAGCACATTGGTTTATGGTTTTGAGAGTTAACTTCAAGACCCCTCATGTGCCCTGGGTACTCAGGTATCTGATACTGGTGTCGTACCTGCCCCACTGGGTATAACTATATTGTCTCTTCATGTTGGCTTTAAGGTGGTGGTAATAATAATAAATAATAATAATAAGTCAAATTAAAAAGGTTATATTAGGGATGTGGGCAGAAACTAAGTTTTGCTTTCAGAAGGGTGTACCATTCTCATAGTTTTGCCACTGAACCGAAATACCAATTCTCAAACTATGGTGAAAAAGCCCTGATCTTCTGAAGAGAATCAAGGTATGCAGGAGGTGAACTGGTAATGAAGGCAAATTGTCAGACACAGTTGGCTAGTTGTCAGATACCACTGGGAGAAGATGTATATGTTTTGATGATACTTCAAGTTTTGCCAGACTGTAAGGTTGGGTTCTTCACACCGGATTGCTTTAAGATGGGTGCTGTGCAGCGTGAGCTTGGGAGCTGGATGCTTCTGCTTTCTTTCCAGATGAGTCAGTGTCTTTGGCACAATAGGGCATTTGGGAATTACGTTCCCAGAGCACATACCTAGATTGCCAGAACTTGTCCTGATGATATTTTCCTCTTGCCTTAAAAGCCTTGCTTTGCAAAGGATGTTAGTTCTAAGGATTTGTCTCTTTGTGTTGCGTAGCCTACTAATTCTTTAATTTGGTTGCAAGGAATTTGGGCTTTTACTGTGCCTGCACAAATTGAGAAGCCTTAATTTTTTAACAAAGGTGGTATGGCTAAGGGGAGTTGTTCCTGAACAGCCAGGAGTCAGCTGCAGAAGCTGAACCAGGCTTTCACAGTGGTATTCCTGTAGGCCATGTCGTGCTGTGAGCGAGACAGCAGTGCATGATTTTGAAGGAAGATTTTTCTCATCTGTTGTTCGTGTTTAGCAAATAGCTCTTCTTACTTGCAATTTCAGGCAAAGTGTGTATTAAGGGCCTTTATTCAGCATCGTTTAAATAGTCAGGAATTGATTCTGATTGGCATAAAACTGAAGGGAACCCTCTAGAGGCACAGAGTAGTCTATACGGGCAAGGGATATTTTAGTGGAGGTGCATTCCAAATGTGATTTCAACCATAAGACCATATTTCTACATACCACTTACAGACCATGTCTGTGAAAAATGCTGGCAGTTTTACAAAACAGAATATTTAAAAAAAAGAAAAAAAAAGTGCTCTGGAATAGTTAAATTTCTGCACAGTATTGCAAGGTAAATGACAATTGCATGCATTTTTGTATTATCTGTGGATTTACTCTATAGTTTAATGTAAAGACAAGACCAGGCAATGAGGAGAGAACCCATAGTGGAGCTTGACTGTTAAAGAACGGTGATTTGGATTAGGTAATGCAATGTGGATGAATCTATAAACTAAAGAGCTTTTTTTGAAACAAATCTTTGGCAAAAATACAGTCTTGCTGTTGTGAAATGGTTTCTGTTTGTATTAGTTTTTCATGTTAATTTGCAGATAAAGAGACCAAATGATTGAACATGTGGTGGAAAGTTAAACAGCAAAAAATACTTGTTTGCATATAAGTATCTGCTTGCTTTTGAGATTATGGAGCAAATTTTTACAGATGCTGCTGGTTTAAAAATGGAACTTCGTTGCAGAGCTACATCTCCTTACTTTAAAATCTGAACATAGTTGAGAAAACCCTTAAAGAGGAATTAACATTTCAGTTGAAGTTACAAACGTAATTTCCATCCTGTCACATTTTGGTGACCTTTTGTGACAGCTTGTCTCTATTGGAGGAGTGCATTCTTACTTGCTGATTAAAGATGTCATTTGAAACCATTTTATTACCAGCAATAGTGAAATTAATCTTGACACTTAGAGACACTAGAAAAATAATTGCTGATTCACTGCATTAACTGTGTGTCTGAGAACTGTACAGTCAAGATGAGAGTAAGTGTGTGCTGGTAAAAATGTGCAAAAATAGAGAGTATTCTCATTAATATAGCTGAGATCTTTCCTAAACATTTCTTTATCCAAAGTAGTGAAGTAGTGGTTTTGAAAAGTTTAAAGGAGACGCATTGTAGGACAACTATGCATTTGATTTCTAGAGATACTAAGTTTGCCATCTGTGATGAGAAATATGTAACTTCTTTCAGTGCACATAGTTGAAGTCTTACCAGAGTTGGAATTGTCATTATGCTCTGGATTTAGTTACCTGTTAAGGAATGTGAAGAAGAAAAATGTCTTTGTTTGGCATCACCAAACTAAAGTATTCCCTCTGTACCTAATTTAAAAACCAGAACAAAAGGTTACACTTATGCAGAGCCATTTGCAAAGTGATAGCAGTGGTTATTGGATGCGGTAGTACTTGTTGTTAGGTCCTGCTTAGTTGGCTTATGTTCACTCTGATAACTAGTGGCTGATACTTTGGGCAAGACTAGGAAATCAAAATGAGTGGTTTCACCAGTGTCCTGTTGCACTGCATCAGCAGCGTGTGGCCGTTTGCTGCAGCAGCCTGCACACACTGTCCAGGGCACGGCAGCACCCAGCCTGGCTCAGTGTGCTTTGGTCACAGTGCACACAAGCTCTTAGCCAGAGAGAAGCAGTGGGCCTTTTCGTGTGAGTACCTGGCTGTGCTTTGCAAGATGAAAGAGGATCTCTTCTTCCTCTGCTCCTCAGCTCTTTTCTAATTAGCAGCCTGATCCTGCTTTCAGCGAAGACAGGGACTATTTTCATTGCTCCCCTCTCTGCAAAACTGACTTCCACACTGTCTCCTCTCCTTGATCTCTCTATGGCGCAATGGTCTCAAATTCAATGAACAGCCCACCTAATAATTGATCTGACTGTGTATTTTGCTGCGTGTGACCCATAGCAATATAAAGCACTTGAGGTATTCACGAGTTTGTTCACTGCATAAGTCTTTGCTTTTGCAGTCTGTCTCTGAGGCTCTGAACCTGCAGTTTTGTGTGTAAGCAAAATTCTTCACAGGTAGAACACTCTTGCCTTCAGTGGCATGTTGTGGAGGAGGTATGATTGATGTTAATGTAAATGTTATATGTATTTTTTTAAAAACCAAAAGATTATATTGCACTTTTGTGCTCATAGATGTGGTATGAATGTAGTGATGCTTGCTGCAGTGAATTCAAGGGGGTTTTTGTTTTGGTTGGGATATTTTTTCCAAGGTCAGTGTTAGGCACATCTTACCTTTTCTGGCTGAAAACCACATTCTATCTTTTCTGGCTGAAAACCTGAATATGTGGACTGTGCCTTTAAGGATACAGCCTTTAAAGTTTGAGAACTTTCACAGAATGTTAGGGGTTGGAAGGGACCTCGAAAGATCTTTCATGTACAGTAAGTAGGAAGACAATTTATTAGCTTTCATTTTAAAGAGAGTAAAAAGTACTTGCACATCGCAGATCATCAGGACTGACTTTGCTCTGGATGTCATCACCCCTTCCCCAAGCTTAACCAGCACAGCCCTCTATAGTCATTTTGTTTGGAGCAGCCCATTCTTTCTTCTGGAGTTGTTTCTATGCAGTGTCCTTGGATATGTGCTCAAGAGGCTGAGACGCAGACATGATACTGCCTGGTAGGAAGGCTAGCTTTATTCTCAGGTTCATTAAGAGCTGCTTTTCTCACATAGGACTTCTAATGTGTCTAATAGGAAATATCATCTTGAACAAGTATCAGTGGTTGTTGCAGTGACTGAACCTTGCTTTCCAAACTACTTTGGGGATTGTAGAGTGGAAGATGGCATAAAAATTTTCCTGCCTGTCCTGTTAGAAAAAGGAAACTTGCTAACTCGCAGCATGCCTAGGATGCCAGCAGGATTTGGATCCTCTCTGGTTGAAGAAAGGAGAGCTATTGCTTTGCAATGTAATGGCACCATTTCTTCCCATAAGTATATGGGAACTAATGGTCTTTCTTTCCTGCAGACCAACTAAAAGCCCATGTTAGCCCTTTCACACCTGCAAACCTGTGAAGAAACTGAACTTGCTGCACATGTGGACAGGAAGGAGGCTTGAAATCAGAGCTCTATTTTTCCTGTTAAACCAGCTTTTTTTCATCCCTGTGTCTTGGTTTGAAAAGACAGGTGT